ATTACTATAGTAGTATAGCGGCACCTTTTCGGGTAGTAGCTTATTTCGAGGTATACTATAAAGATAGCACTAAGTCTTTAATATAGGGGGGGTCTATATACTTTTAGGAGCCCTACTAGGAGTCTATTAGGGCCTAATACCGTCTAGGGTTCTATCTTTTTAAGGCGCCCCTATATATCTACTATAGTGATATTTTAGCGGATATCCTACCCCGGGGGGAATTCCGCGCCTAAGGGCCTAAGGGCGGTAAGGAGGGGGGGGGGGGAAGAACTTCCGGTTTAGGACTTTAGCCTTCTCTATATATATAGTTACCGGGTAATCGCTATTATCTCGGTATAGTAGTAGTACTAATAGGGGGTCTAGTAGTACGCCCCTTTTAGTTTATACCTATTTCTATAGCCGCTAAAGAAGGCTATTATCCTTCCCGGTTAAGTAGAGTAGGTACTATTAGTATATCCGCTTTACTACCGCTATAGCCTTATCTTAGCGCCTCTCCGCTTCCTAGAACTCGTCCTATCGGTTCCGGGACTTCCTGGATATATATCTACGGTAAAGGCGCCTTACTTCCTAAGTAAGGGTGGTTAGCTCCGCGTTCTACTTAGGGGTGGATAGGTATTTAGGGGTGCCCCTACGGCGGCGCGGCGCGGCCTTATCGGCTATAGTTATAAGGTCTACTATTAAATTATCTAATACTAAGTTAATATCTTCTAGTAATATAAAGGGGCTAGTCTACTATAGCCGCGTAATAACGAGCTAGGGGACCTATAAGGGGTTAAAGTCTTTCTAGACTTAGCGGGGCCTAGCTAAGTCCCGTGGTAGTATCGTCGCGGTAGTCGGCGATGTATCCGTCTCTATAAGGATTCGGGCCGTCTATAAGTAGTGGTTAGACCCGATAACGGTCTTATCCGGGCCGCTAAAGTCGTAACGGAGCCCTTATATTACCTATATAAGGTTAATAGTATCAGTACGCCGGCCCGGGCGGTACTATATAGTTATTCCGGGGGGGGGTTATTAAGTTAAGGTTTAACTAGGTTATAAGGGTAAGCTGAGTATCGGCTCGGGGGTAATACCGTAGTGGCTATAACTATAAGGGGTAGTATAGGTTAAAGTCCCCTATAAGGATATATTAGCCCTATAGCAGTGCCGTGTTAAATATATCTTATAGGGGCATATTCTAGGGGATCCTAGCTAACTAGTAGTTCTCTAAGTAGATCGACTAGATTATAAGGGTATTATCTCCGGTCCTAAATATAACCATATAGGTATCGCGGTAGGCCCGCTATATCTACGTATATAGCGGGTATCTCTTATAAATATATAGGAGGGTATAGCCTCCTCCTTAGATTAGCCGGTATACCCCTTAGGAGGGGTATATAGGGCTTTTCGTAAAACGGTTAAGGCTGGATTCCTGAATTATTATCACGTTATACTCGGCGCGGTACCGGAGCGGTAGCTCCCGCCGCGCCTAACTCCTCCCTATATTCTATAAAATGATATAGATTTCTATTAATTAAAGGGGGGGGGGGGTTAAGATAATATACCCGGTCTAACCGGGGTCTAGCTCTAGGGTTCCTACTACGGTGCCTTATCGGCCCCGCGGGGGACTATATTGGCGCTTATCGGGCCTAGTATCGGGGAGCCCTCTTATCCCCTAGTCCTTTTCGGGGGCTAACCCCTACCTTTACGGAGGGGGTAGTCCTAGTCCTAGGCGATAATAATCGGGGGGAAGATTTACGGCTACCGCGGGTATACCGCTTTGGTCTAGCGGGTAATATTAAAGTCCCTAGCTTAGTACTTACACGCTTTACGGGTCTTCTCGGCCTCTTTCTTTAGTAATCGGTATAAATTATCGAAGGTATTATAGTCTCCGGTATAGGCGGCGTAGCGGCGGGGGCGCCCCGGCGCTATAGCTTTATAGTATCCTAGGCCTTAAGGGTACGCCGATTCGGGCTTAGCGTAATAGCGGTATACTCTCTCTGCTATAGGGTAGCCGTTCGCCTAGTAGCCGAAGTATAGGTATTTATAGCACCTCAGGGGATTAAGGTCGGGGTCGTATAGTTGATAGATATAGCTACCCCCCTTAAAGAGGAGGGTATTCCGGATAAGGCTTACTACCCTTTCCGGTAAAGCCGATTCGATAAGGAGGAGCGTTACCATACTAGTACCGCGGCGGGGTACCCGCTATTATACTCGGATAATTTTTACCTTAGGGTTTATATCTTATAGGAATACTAGTAAGTCTTTTTCGGATAAGGCGTTAAGGACCTCCTAAGGGATAGCCTTAGCTAGCGTAGGGTAGGTATATACGGCTAGGGTAGCTCCTTTACCGAAGGCCTTTTTAATCTATTATTCCTTATAGGTGGCCTACTACTATACCTTTTCGGTAAAAGTAAGGCAGATATCCCCGTTTAATAGCTTCCGTACCGTTATAGTATTATATTAGGTAGTTATAGCGTTTATAGCTTAGATAATCTCCTTTAGGGTCCTATCTTTAAGGGGCTAATCTTCGGGGAGAGTTCTTTAGCGGATAACTAGTTCCCGGTAATACCTAGCGGGGATTATCTTAGGGGGGGCGGGGTCCCGCGGCGGTACCGCCACGGGAGCCCGGGCTATAATATTAGCCTAGGTCTTTTTTATACCTCTTATTCCTTTTCGGAGTTCCTCTTAGATAATATAGCGGACGGATATATATAGGTATACTAATAGTAGCGCGCCGGCGTTATTATAGATACTATGTATTATAATTAGTTCCTTTACTAGCTCTATAACCTATGTAATTATATTCCGGTTAACTAGTAGGGCCTGAATTTCTATCTTAATCTTAGCTACTCTCGGTTCCGGGGGGCGTAGTAGTCCCCTTTCGGTCTTATATCGGTTCCGCGCTATATCCTACCTCGGGGTAGGGGGGGGGAGCGCTTATATTACGAAAAATGGGTCCGTTACGGATTCTGTATAGTCGAGGTCGGGACCACGCTATCCCACGACTCTTCCGGCTATACCGTAACGCCGGTATTATAGTGCCGCTATAATAGTATCCCGGGAGGGAGGCGGTAGTTATAATCTCTGTCTCGGTAGTTTTATCGATTTTACTCTTATTACGCGCCCGTGATTAATAGGCATGTCGAAATCGGTGCATAAGAGTATTATTTCCGGCCCTAAATATAACCGCCTAGGCGTTATAGTGGGCCTACTATATCTACCTATATAGCGGGTGTGTTTTATATATATATAAAGGAGGTCGCGGCCCCCTGCTTAGATTAATCGGTATACCCCTTAGGAGGGGTAGACTAGGCTTTTAGTAAAAGTGTTGAGGCCGGGTTCCTAGATTATTATTATATTATACTCGGCGCGGTACTAGAGCGGGAGCTCCCTCCGCGCTTAACTCCTCCCTATATTCTATAAAGGGATATAGATACTTATTACTTAAAGGGTTAAGGGAGTTAAGTTAAGGCACCTAGTATAATCTAGGCCTAGCCCTGGGGCTCTTATACGGTACCTTATTAGTCCCGCGGGTGATTATATATAAGATTATTAGGCCCGGCGTTAACAAGCCCTCTTAGCCCTTAGTCCTTTTCTGGGGTCGTCCTATACCTTTTTTGGAGGGGTGGGTCTTAGCTTAGCAGTTACGAGAAGCTACTCTAGGGCAGGCTTTATAAGTAGTAGGGTTATACTATTTTAGTTTAGCAGGTAAGGTCAAAATCTCTTACTCGTATTTATATACCTCCTAGGCCTTCTCGGCCTCCTTTTTTAGTAGCCGGTATAAGTTATTAAACGTATTATAATTTCCGGTATATATAATATAATAGCGGGGTTGCCCCGGTACCGCTATAGCGTTTTAGCTTAAGCCTTAAGGGTATACTAACTAGGGCCTAGTATACTAATAGTATACCTGCTTTACTATAAGGTACCCACTCGCCTTATAGCCGAAGTAAAGGTATTTAGAGCTTTTAAGTAGGCTACGGTCGGGGTTATAGGGTTTATAAATATAACTACCCCCTTCGAAGAGGAGGGTATTCCGTATTAGGCTTACTACCCCCTCCAGGGAGGTTAATTCTACTAGTAGTACTATAACTCTGCCGGTACTATAGCGGGGTAGTTATATTCTCGCTTAGAGAATTTTAGCCTTAGAGTTAGTATACCGGAGGGACGTAAGTAAGTCTTCTTCGGATAAGGTATTTAGGGTCTTATAAGAGATAGTCTTAGCTAGTACCGGATAGGTCTTAGTAGCGAGTATAGGCCCTTTCCAAGGCCTTCTTAATGTATTATTCCGCGTACGTAGCCCATTATTTTACCCTTTTAGTAAAGGTAAGGTAGATATCTCTGCTAGGTAGCTTTTATACTATTACGGCGTTATATTATATAGTTATAGCGTTTACTACTTATATTATCTTCTTAAGAGTTCTAGATTTTAGGGGCTAGCCTTCAGTGAAGTCTCCGTATAGGATAATTAGTTTCTAGTAGTATTTAGCGGGGATTACTTTAAAGGGGGCCGGGTCCCGTGGTTATACTACCACGGGATCCCTAGCTATAATAGCGGCCTAAGTCTCCTTGGCTTTACGAGTTCCTTTATAGAGCTCCTCTTAAATAACGTGGCGGATAGTTATATATCGGCTTATTAACGGTATTATAGTAGCAGTACCGCGATTATACTATAATATAATTAGTTTCTCTATTAGCTTAATAACCTAGTTAATTAGATTCCTATTAGCTAGTAGCTCCTAAATTACTACCTTTACTTTAGCTAGCCTCGGGTTTAGAGACCGTAGTAATCCCCTTTTAGTCCTATATCGGTTCCACGCAGCGTCCTGCCCTAAAGAGAGGGGGGGGGAAGGGGGGATAGAGCGTTTATTCTATAAGAAATAGATCCGCCGAAAATTTTATAAGGCTAAAGTGGGGATAATACTATCTATTAAGTCCTCCGGTTATACTATAGCGTCGGCGTTACGGTCCCTTTACGATAGTATCCCGAGAGGGAGGTAGTAGTTATAATCGCTATCTTAGTGGTTTTATCTTACTTCTGTTATACGCCAGTGGTTAATAGGCGTTAAGCATATGTTTTTTTTTGCCTATAAATAGATAGACTATTAGATAGGATAGCGTAGTAAGATAAATAATAATAATATTATCATTATTTAAATACTAGAACTAGACTTACTATATTTGTCTAATTTAATAAAACTGGTTAAGGAACCCGGATTCTAGAATATCTAAGAAAGAACACGCCCAGGCTAGTGTACCCTCGGGCACGAGGTCCCGGACCTCGGGAATATTCAATCCAACTCGCTGTAATGTCTGGATTAGGTTCGAATTATTGTGCGTTGAAAGTATAACACCCTTCCCAAGCAAAAGGCACTCGATGTCTGTCACCGAGTCTCCGAAATAGACTAGTCGTTTTATATCAATTCCGTTATAGGCGACAAGTTCTGACAATGCGCAAGCCTTGTCCATGCAGCTGGCCAACGTACCATGCCTTTTGTCTGCGCTGAAAATAGCCGGGCCAGTGATCGTGCCATCTGCGTTGATCTCGTTGGCCACGATAGTATCGATTGAATACCCAGAGAGAACCCCGCGTATAAAAGACCGCGACCAATTAACGGATAGCACGGAAGTACGCCATGCTTTCTCCTCGGCTAGTCGGATGAGCTCGTCAAATCCGTCCCTAATCGTGACTCGATGACATCTGAGAGCGTCTTGCCCAGCAGCGAAGAGCATCTCCTCCGTGACGCCCTGATACAACCCGGAAGACTCAACGAGGCGGATAGACCGCAGCTCCACGCTTCGTAGACTTCGGAGAAACTGCAGCTCATCGTCCAGGCACTGCCTATCATTTGCCGCTGGCAGGTAACACGACACGTGTTGAGCATACTCCCTCTGGTATGCATCCACGATTTCTGGCCATGTAGGTGATGCCTGAGCGGCACGGCATTGCTGAGCAGCCACACCAACTTCAGCCAGGTTGGCAATAGTATCATGCACAGTAATTGTCCCATCGAAATCCAAAACAAGACTACAGGTCGGCTGCAGCATTGTCTAGTGTCGTAAGTGAGGATGATCGTAAGTGAGGCTAAGATGTAGATGACGTTGAATCCATCGAAGACGTCAAATAGCACAATATAGTTCCTTATACTTAGAGGCTAGTTATTCCGACTATACTATTTGGATATTCCGACTATAGTTCTGACATAGACCTATAAATTTCCCTTTTCGAAATACTATATATATATTATATTCTACGTACAATTATTATATTAATCACTTTAATAGCTTTTTAACTCTTTTAACGTTTCTAATGTTTTTAATGTTTTTAATGTTTTTAATGTTTTTAATGTTTTTAATGTTTTTAATGTTTTTAATGTTTTTAATGTTTTTAATGTTTTTAATGTTTTTAAGGGTTATTATTATTATTATTATTATTATTATTATTATTATTATTACTCCGCTATTCTATCTAATCTATAGGAGCCTAATTTAGACTATACGGTCCTTCTCGGGTAGCTATAAAGGGGAGAAACCGGGATCCCGGGAATAAACTTTATACTTATTCTTAATTAGAGTAATACTACTAAAGGGCTAATATAGCCCCGGTTTATCCTTCCTATATATATAGATTATACCCTTAGCCTAATAGTTAATAGGAAGGGTGGTAGGCTATAGTTCGGGTTAGCCTAGGCCGGTTATTAGTAAGGAGGCGGGGGCTAAAAGAGTACTGTAGTGTCTCCGACGTGTAACGGCCACGGCACGCTATCTCCGGCCTCTTTATATCCCCGGGGACTATACCTATTATTTCTTTTATTTAAATTAATAAAGAGAAAAGGTAGGGTAGGCGTTCCTGCCTCCCTTAAAGGGGGGGGGGGGCTTACTATATCCGGTAATAGGTAAGGAGGGTAAGGCTTCGCCTATATCTGTAAAGAATAGTAGATAATTAATAAAGGGTAAGGTCCTCCTCCTTTTCCTTTTTTCTTTACTATAACGCTATAAAGCTTATTATAGGTATTCTTTATTATATTCCCGCCTATAGTCTTATAGGCTTACTATCGCGGCATTATACTAATTAGTAGTAATATTCAGTTCTTTATTCTTAATTTATAATTTTTCTATTTAATTCTAGTATATAGTTTATAGTTTATAGGTAGCGTTATAGTAACACAGGGTTAACTAGGTAATATAATAGTAATAGTAATAATAATTTTAATATTAACCGTAAATATTATCTTAATATAAGTATCTTTATATCGTGGTAACACTATAGTAGTAGGGTACTAATAGCCGTGGATACTAATACGCCCTACGGCGTACTATAGGAACCGCCCCTTACGGGGGTATACCGTGAGAACTATATTCTACGGGGGTATACCGTAAAAACCGCGTTCTACGGAGGTATACCGCGAATACTAGCTAGGTATTACGGGGGTATACCGTAAGAACCGTATTCTACGGGGGTATACCGTAAAACCGGTATACCACGGAAATACTTAGTAGGAACAAGGTATTACCAGGCTATAGTTAGGAAGCCGGAGTATCCCCAGGGTTTCCCCGTATATATATTAATTCGGGGCTTCGCCCCTTAATTAGACTAAGATATCTTTATTATACCTCTTTTACTATAGTAAAGGTTACCCCTTAAATCCTGGGTTCTCTAGGTCCGATAATACTAGCTAGCCAGAGTTATGCCCGGATAGGGCATATTAAATACTAGATCCTTCTAGGTCTTATAGTACTGGCTAGCCAGGGCATTTACCTGGACAGGGCTTATTAAATAGTAGTAACTAAGCTTTTAGGTAAGGTTTATACACCGCCGCCCGGCGCGGACTATATATACTAAGACTAAATAGGCACGTAGTATACTAGCGGTCGCCGTCGCGGACTACGTATACTAAGACTAAACAGGTACGTAGTTTACTAGGGCGTACCACGGGGTACCCTAGCAAACGCTAGTATACTAGGCGTAGCCGCACTTAAAGGCGCGAACTTCGTGTGCTAAGACTAAATAGACATAAGGCGCGCTAGGCAAAAACGCCTCCCCTTTAATAGGTTTAGGCGTGGAATAATAAAGGGAACCACCGTTAAGTGCAGGAATAGCGCCTATACTAACCTATACTAGCAGTGGAACCCGAGCTTCGACACCGCGGTAATCTTCCTAACGATTATTAGTCGGCGTAGGCGACTATACTAAGCTACACCAACGCTAACCGTTTTTAATAATCGCTAAAAGGCGTAGGATAGCGCCTATACTATCCTGTATACTAGCGTCCTCCGTGGAACCAGAGTCCCGATAAAACCACGGGGCATACTAACCTTCGGATAACCGTCCTCCCCTTTACTATAGCACCGAGCCACTT